GGCTCTCCGCGATCGGTGACCTCATCGTCGGCGAGTTTTTGGCGATTAGAATGGCGAGTGAGGAATTGGGAAAGGTCTTTAGGGGATGAGAGAGAGAGAGAGAGAGAGAGAGAGAGAGAGAGAGAGATTTGGGGATTTGACCAGTTTGGGGTTTTTAGATGGAGAGGGGAATATAAAGAGGCGGGGAATGAAAAAAATAAGCGGGAAATGAAAAAAAATAGGGGGGAGGTCCGTAAATTTTTTAGGCAACCTAGACGGAAATTCCGTCTAGGTTACGTCAACCTAGACGGAATTTCCGTCTAGGTTGAGTATTATTTAAAAAAATAAAAAAAACCGTCTAGTTTGTCAATCTAGACGGAAATTTCCGTCTAGATTGATTCAAACTAGACGGAACAAACTAGACGGAATTTTTTCCGTCTAGTTTGACTCAAACTAGACGGAAAAAAATTCCGTCTAGTTTGTTCCGTCTAGTTTGTTCATTTTTCTACTAGTGAATATTATAAAGGAGTGGCACAGTGGATTAAGAAAATCACAAAATCCCTGATTCAAAAAGTATATTGCTTGTTTTTATTCTTCAATAGGGAGGTAAAAATGGGATTCAGATATTCTCCATTGCAATAAAACAGTGGAAAACAAACTAGTTTGAATCCAGCCCTTAATTGTTTAATTAATAATTGTGATTCATCTTCTTTAGTGTAAATTAGGAATGAGTGAATTCACGAGTATACGATCAGAAGAACCAAAATTGCATACAAACATCCATGGAATAATCAACAGTTCAAATAGAAAGCAAGTCATGCTACTACTTTTTGCTTGTGGAGATGATCCAAATTCATAAAAATGTAGTGCTTGTTAAAAGAAAGATATGGGCAAAAGTTTTTTTTTGGTAAATGAAAATTTTTATTCATCAACCAAAATATGAAGTTATATCGAGATAGCTCAGCTATAAGAACTGAGATTACTCTCACAATATCAAAAAACTACAACAAGCAAAGACCTTCACACTATTATTTCATCAATAAGCTACAAATATCAGCTCCAGGCTTGTTAAGAATTACAATCCAAATTTTAGTTTTTATCTCCCTGACCAATTGCACTGGATTCCTGGATTTACGCTGAAAAATCATTGCATTGCATTCCCTCCATATGCTATATATTGTTGCATTTAAAGCCATCCTTTTCAAATTTTGTTTGAGTCCCTTCCCTCGTAACCTGATAGAGAACCAGTGAATTATTTGTTGCCAATTGCAAGACCTCCAATTGAAGTCCAACCAATTCATAACACACTTCACAAGAATAAGCAAACTATAAAAAAAATGATTCTTGGTCTCACATTCAACTTCTGCACAAAGACAGCAACTGTTTGAATCTATTACCCCTCTTCTAAGAAGCCTGTCTTGAGTGAGGATTCTGTCTTGCATGACTAACCAGCTCATAAAAGAATGCTTAGGAACATTTAAACCCCCCCAAACCACGTTGTACCAAGATACTTTTTGAAAAGCAGGGGAAATTGCATTATACAGGGCTGAAAGTCTGAGTTTTGCATTGCAGTGACATGAATTGATGAGTTGTTTCAGGTTTTCAGCACCTCCACACAAATGCATTGCTTTATCTCTAGTTTTAATCAATTACTTCAACATCCATGAATCCCCAATTTTAGCTTTGACTTGCCATATGTCTCTTTATCTTAAATAGGTCCCATGAACCCATTTAATCCATAAAGATTCTCTGTTTGTTTGTATGTGCCAGATACATCTAAGAGCTGAAGCAACATTCCACCTTTATGCAGAAATAATTCTCAGACCTCCTTGCTTTTTATTTATGCACACTCTCTCCCATGACATAAGAGGAGCTTTGAATGCTTGTTCAATATTTTGCATATTTCATCTATTTTCTTCAAAACACTGATAGGTATATAGTTAAAGGTCCAGAAAATTTGGATTCTAAGAATCACACTCTTGATTACTTACAATCTACCAGCATATGAGAGGTTCCTGACCTTTAGCCATTTTTTGAATTGATCTATAATTCTTGTAAAGAGAGGATTACAATCCATGTAAGTCAGTCTTTGGAAATAAGAGGAATCCCCAAGTAGTTAGCAGGAAAATTACCTACAGAAAATCCCAACAGATTGTGAATGGAAGACTTGACACTATCATCAACACCTCCATAATAGAGCTTTTATATGCATTTGCTTCTAAGCCTAAAACATTGCTGAATTCCCTGAGGCACTTGTGCAACTTAGACACTGAATTCAGTTCACCTTTGGAGAATAAGAGCAGGTCATTAGCAAATATTAGGTGCGAGATCCTCAACTTAGCACATTTAGGGTGATATTTGAAAGATTTATCATTCTTCAAAAGACCCAAGCTCCTAGATAAGTACTCCATGCCCATGATGATAAGTACTCCATGCCCATGATGAACAAGTATGGGGAGAGAGGATCTCCTTGCCTAAGGCCGCGTTCTCCTTTGAAGAATTCATGAAGGGAACCATTAAGAGAGATAGAACATTTAGGAGAAGTAATACAAGTCATTATCTAATTTATCATAGCAATAGGAAAACCCAACCGTTTAAGCATGTATGATAGAAATTTCCAACTAATTGTATCAAATGCCTTCTTGATGTCCACTTTCAGCATGACCCTTGGGGAAAGACTCTTTCTGTTGTAGTTCTTAACCAGTTCATAGGCGAGCATGATGTTACTTGAGATCAACCTCCCATTAACAAAAGCACATTGAGCTTCATTCACCAAGTATCCTAACACATTTTAATCCTGTTAGCCTTTATGTTTTGATGATGATTTACAATCACCATTATTAGTACTAATTGCTTATTGAGTGATATTATAGATTACAAGAATATCAAGCTTATTAGTATCTTTATTAGAGGATTGGATGGATTATCAAGCTACAACGATGAAATCAAGGAGGTGGAGGCATATTGGTGAAGCAAAGCTGGATTATCAAGCTACAACGATGAAATCAAGGAGGTGGAGGCATATTGGTGAAGCAAAGCTATCAAGAGCACAATATCATAGCTACAACGATGAAATCAAGGAGGTGGAGGCATATTGGTGAAGCAAAGCTATCAAGAGCACAATATCATATTAGAAGCTTCGTCAAGAATCACACAAATATCAAGACTCAAGTTATGTACTTATATGTGAGAGATATTTATATTTTCATTTCTTTCTAGTGCTTAATGTAGGCAAGTAGTTTGTTAGATTGCATTTGAAGCTATTGGGATAACACACACACACACACACACTTTTAAAACTCATATTTTGTTAATTTTACTAAACAATGAGTTTTCACAAGTATAATGACCTTTTTACAAAATCCTTTGTTAAACAAGTTTATTTTCTTGTTTAAAAACATTTTTCAGAGTTTTACAAATTTTAAAAGTTGTTTGATAAGTTTTACAATTTCCCAAAGTCAAAAACCTGTTTAAAAACTATGTGCATGTTTTGTGTTAGTTCGCGGTCGACCAGACTTAGTTCTGTGGTCGACCGTGAGAAGTCCAGAGAGTTTGGGAAGTCTGGCAGCCGTTCGCGATCGACCGGACTTGGTTTTGCGGTCGACCGTGAAAAATCCAGAGAGTCTTTTATTGTAACGGCTAGTTCCGCGATCGATCAGACTTGGTTCTGCGATCGACCGCAAGTACTTTAACGACTAGTTTCTGCCAGCTTCTAGATTTTCAGGATTTGGTCTTTTTTGTATTTTTCTAGGATTTTTGGCTTCTTTCAAGGATTGCCTATATATACCCAACTACCCTATTTAATTCTAAACTAACTTTGCAAGAGAAAATTAATTGAGCTTGTGTTCTTGAGCTTAAAAGAGCTTCAATTTTTAAATTTCCAGAATCTGTTTTCACACTTGCAATTCCCACATCCCAAGCTTCAATTGGAATCTCTTCTCCTTGCCATAGGGCTGCTGTAAGAGAGATTCTTTTAGTTCTTTGTAACGTGTGGAGAGCAAGATCTTGTGAAGATCTACTGTGTGGTTGTGAGATCTCAAGAGGAGATCGTTGTGTAGAAGTTCCGGCTTCCAAACCAAATTGTGATAGTGAAATTCTTCTTGAGAGTGGGGAGCAGGGACGTAGGTCGGAGGACCGAACCTTGTGAACATATCGCATGTCACAATTGGCTAACTATTTCCCAACTCATATCTCTTATTTTGTTTTCATATTTTATTCTGTGGTGAATTGCATTGTCCTTTGTAATTGCATATTTATTGCCTCATAACCCTATTCACCCCCCCTCTAGGGCCTTTCAATTAGTATCAGAGCGATGTCTCTACTGTTTGTTAGGATTAAACCCCTTAGAGAAAAGATCTAAATGGAGGCTTTAATGAATGTGCATATGTTAGAAGGACAATCCACCACTAGGACACCCATTTTTAGTGGTAGTAACTTTGCTTATTGAAAAGCTAGAATGAGGATTTATCATTGATGCATTGACCTTGATATCCTAGACATCATAGAGAAGAAATATGTTGAGAAGCCTAGTGGTAGTAGTATGACCGATGGTGAGAGGCTCAAAGCAAACCTTAATATAAATGCCATGAATGCCTTAATTTGTGGACTTACCCCAATGAATATAATAGGGTTTCCACGTGTGCAACCGCACATAAAATTTGGGGAAAATTATGCATCACTCATGAAGGAACCCCCAAAGTTAAGGAGTCTAAAATTAGTGGCCTCATACATGATTATGAATTGTTTAAAATGCTTCTAAATGAATCTATTGATGCTATGTTTTCTCGGTTTACTAATATCATAAATGAATTGCATAGCCTAGATAAGAAATTGACAAAACAAGAGATGAACTACAAGATTCTTCGTTCTTTGACACCGGTGTGGGAGTCTAAAGCTACGGACATCGAGGAAGCTCATGATCTTACAATACTTACTCTTGATGGTCTCATTAGCAAGCTTAAGGTCCATAAGAAGAATATCAAGGAAAAGGAGGAAGTACCCCCAA